TTTTTTTGAGAGAAAGTGTGAAACTGTTCAGTTGGTAAAATATTCTGTTAATAAGCCTCACAAATACAAAATTATAAAGGAGACAACAGTATGATGGAGACAGTTCAGCCTTTTTTTTTGGATTCCACAGTGCGATGGTAGTCTGTGAAAAGTATGAAATTTGTGAAAGTCCAGTGGCATTATGGAGTCTTTTTAACGAAAATTCCTGTAATTATGTGGAGCATTTCTAGTAAATTACCAGACTAAGAATATCCACACATTGGAAAATTTAATTCTTATGATGGTTCTCTATCATTTTGGGCCCTTTATATTTCAGCAATGAATTACCACTTAGAAAAGGAAGCAGCAGTAGGGTAGAATTCCTTTTGGCCATAAGAGGGCAATGGCTACAGAAATGCATAATTCAGCATAGAGAACTAACTTATGAATAATGAACGTATAATGATTTCTGTTTTCATAATTTAATTTTTTTGTGAAATGTGTGCTAAACAGCAGAATCACATTCCCTGAAATATGCTCTGTGTGACCCAGTGTAGGGCTGTTTATTAGTAGTTTTTAAAACCCGTAGATATTTTGCTTCTGTGGGACTCCTGTGGTCAGTAGCACTTACCTCTACTGTTTGCTTTTGGTCTTCTGCTTAGGGATTGTGTGGAGTCTAAAATATGTAAAAATAAAGTTTAACAGAAATAATCTATTTTCTAACAGTACTACCCTCTCACAGTTCTAATTTATGATTAAAAATGTGAGAAAACCACCTTGCATATAAAACCCTTCAGCATCACATTGGTGTCAGTGCTGTGTTCATGTTACCGTTATGAGGTTCTTTTCCAGATAACAGATTAGCAAATACAGTTTGTCCTTTCTGGTGGGAGGGAAAAAAGGTGGTGGGTATGAAATATTACTGTTTCTGTTCAGAAAAACTTGGGTATTTTTTGCTTAGAAAACATTAGTGTTTTAAGTGAAAATGAGAAGAAAGATGAGTTAAGAATAATAGAAATAATTTTTGAATTTTAAAATTACAAATACCACCTTATTAAAAAAACCTCCTTTTGAGTCACAGAGTGAAGCTTGAGTATACCTTGCTTTTATTGCTCTGATGATGCATAATATGACAATTTCTTTCCTTAATGATACACTTTTGTCCCTACATAGTCTTTTAWTGCTCTGATAATGCATGATGCTGCAATTTTTCTCCTCAAGGACTCACTTTTGCTCTTACTTACTGATGTATCTGGCAAACTATAACGTGGAATACAGTTTCATATTTACAATAAAAGCCAAGTTCTAGTTCTTCACATACTGCCTTCTCTGGGGTGTCATGTTCAATCAATAATGCTATGAACAAATTGCCTCAAGCACATATTCTCTTTTCTAGTATTATTTACTTTTGTTTTGGCAAACAAGATAGACAGAGTAGTCTAAAACTCAAGTGTGGATTCATTTTCTGCAGGTCAGCTTGTAATAAAAAAAAAAAGTTTAAACTTTTTAGGGAGAGGCACATCAATGAAAGTTAAGGGGATTCAGAAGTTTAGGAAATTAATTTTATTAATCCAATATGGYATATATGTGCTCTTTCACAGGAATTTTAGTTTATCCTGTTTCTAAACCAACTAAATACTAATGAGGGGGACAGCAGTGACTTCTGGATACACTCATAGTGTCTCTTCTCTAAATCACTGTTGCGAGGTAAAAACCCAACAGATACRCAATGCCATGGAAGGCTCCAGAGACAGCAACTTTAAATGCATAAGAAAGATTCTCAGTTTATTAGATTTGTCCCCCTGTGATTAAAAACATATCTTAACAGCAGACATCTGTTGGACAACGTACGWGGTTCATTTTTGTCTTGGTATGTGAGAAAATCCTGCAGGCTGTATCGCTCAGCCCTGCTAGACCCGGGATGCTGYGGATGCACAGGAAATTAAGCATATGCTCAGCACTGGAGTTGTAATAACAGGCCAGGCTGGTGCAATCTGCTGGAAAGAGAGTGCCATTCCTTGTGCTGTGCCCCGTGGAAAGGAAAAGGGAGGAATGCTAGGAGCCTTCTTCCCTTGTCTGATCTCACGTGATACCTCTGGTTGGCTGTGAGTCTGACAGAAAAAATGAGTGTGTGATAGACAGCACGCTAAAATCAAAATAATTGTGCATCTACTCCTTTTCAGCCTTGTACTGTGGCTGTTGCTTGAAAATATCTCTGTAAACACAGCAATGCTGGGGAGTGGAGCACCACTCTCACTAATTTTCACAAGAGAAGCTAGATTATTTTTTTTTCCACTCAGTAAAAATATGTCCTTCAGGCTTCCTTAAATGGGGTACCTCTTTCCTTAGTAAAAGTATTTTTCTTCCTGTGAGCCCAGCTAACTCATCTTTTGAAAGGTGACTGCTTTGAAGTCAAAACAGAAAAATAGCACTGTGGGCTGCCAGCATGCAGCAGGTTTTGTTTGTGTGTGCTTTCAAAGCAAWAAAGACCTTCACTGTTTTAACAAAGTGTTTCAGAAATCTACAGGGCCAACTTTGTGTTTTCCAAGTAAATATGCAATCAAGCCCGTGAGAGCATCACCCAAAGACATAATATATATTTACATGCCCGTGGCTAATCTGAAATTTGTGTGCTACAAATGAACCAAAACAGATAAAAAGCTTTGTGAGGTAGATTTTCAAAATTTTGAGGAATGAATAAAAGCATATTTGAACTGATGGTAGCAAAGGTTTCAATCTTCGTTTCGGGACACAAAATAGAATCTATGGAATTTTAGGAAGGAGTCTTGAGTCTAAATATAGTTTCCTGCTGAGACATTGGGGTCTTTTCCCCCAAACCCAAGTCAAAGAGGCACTGCATAAGAGCAGTAGGCTATTTTGATGTGCTGTGGTGATTACCATAGAATTGTATCTCCAGATACATCCGAGAGGACTTCTATAAATATATCCCATCCTTGCTGACAGCCTGGGAGCTGCAGGAAGTGCTGAATCCTTTTTGCAGCCAATATTACATTGTATTATCAAAGCACTAAGTTTCAGAAATGGAGCTTTGTGACTTTCCAGGATGTGGACAACTGAGGTTGGGCTTCCAGAGCTCAGGTCTCTCTTCAAGGTGATGTGATCCACACCAGGCAATGAAGAGATGAAGGTACATGCTGGACACTCATCAGYCTCCCCAGGACCAATGATTGCTGCTGAAAAATCAGAGCTCATGAAGTACCAAAGAAGTGGTGGATTCTTCATTTCTTAGCCTTCTCGAGTCAACATTGGAGACCTATTGGCAAATCAGAATGTGATGATTCCAGTRCCAGAGCAGGTGGGTTAATTTTATATGCTGTGGTGTACCTGCTCTAGGGATCAGGAAGGTCAAACTGGATGATTTTGTGATGTTTTCTCGTTTCTCATGGTTAGGTATGAGAGAGGCCAAAGAATGCCCTCCCTGGTGCTTACATCTGTCTCCAAAGAGTTAATTTCAACAGGAATTTCAGCTGGATTCACTCTGTTAGCTGTATCTAGTCTGAGTGATAGAGAAATTCCTAAGGGCTAAGCTGTGAGTGTAACGTGAAGAAAAGTCAACACGTGCTCTGAGGAATCAGGGATGTCTTTTCCCAGTGTTTTCCTTGGTATGCCGTATGAATGAAGAGTTTTCTGCYTGAGTGCAAGTGTATGATAGCATATGAGACAGCTGGCTTTAGAGCTTGGCAAGGAGTGAGGGAAGAAGGCTGAGGAATTCTCTGGGAAACGAGGAAGAAGTGACTTGTACCTAGCCTGTATGGAGAATTTCTGTCTGATTTATAGGTCACAGGATAAGAGCTCCTTTGGGCTGTGTTCTACTGAATTGCATGAACTGAAAGGGGCTTATTTTTGATAAGATTTGGAACTTCTCTTTTACCAAAGCCTTCAAAACTTTGATAGCTAAACTGCAACTTCTGTAAGGGGTACCAGTATTTTTCGTCTACAAGAGTTCCTTTTCCCATGTTTTTTGTTTAATTTCCTGGTGTCTGATTAAGCAGGTAAATTACTTTGTGTCTAAGTAGTATATTTTTCCTAAAAAGAAGGGCTTTGATAATGTTACAGTTCTGACAAATTTAGTAACTRTATATGCTACCTGATGTCAAAACAATTTACCCTTTTTTTTTTTATAGCTACAGCTAAAGCTGGTTTTTATGGCTACTTTAGTCCAAATAAATATTCCTGACTCAATGGATCAAGATAAAACCACAATCTGTAGTTGCTTCTTTAACAAATACCAGGCTGGGACAGCCATTTGCCCACTCATGAGTTTTCTGGCTTCTTTCTTATTAGACATTAACCAGCAATTAACAAAAAAGTGCAGAAGAAGCTTATGATTGATTTTGGACCTAGGGCAAATCTAAGTGTATTCTGATAAGGAAGATTTGAAGTAGCAGGTATGTACATAAATTTTGTGTTTTCAAATAAAGCTGTGGGGATGGATCATAGCACTCACACASAGCACAGAGGTCCTGATTTCTGGTGCAGCCACAGTAAAGATGGAAATCCCAAAGTCTCTTCTTTTGATCTRTGGAATTTAAAAAGTATCACATAGGAAATCTTTAGTAAAATCAGGAATTGTTCCCACTCCTTCAGACTCTGACYACCATGAAAATTCTTATTTTTGTCCTTGCTGGTTGACTAAGTTATTACAGGGGATTTGCCCAATGTAAGGAAGAAGTTGATCCTAAACATGTTTTTTTACAGTATCATAATTTCCATTACAGAATCTTTTTTTTTTTTTTTTTTTTTGGAAGGGGAACCCCCCACTTTTTGGTGTGCCTCCTGATTTTTTAATAATACCACAGACTTCTTTGCCTTTCAGTGAACCAGTTCCACAAGGAGATTGCCACATCAGATTATGTGAGTTTGCTTCATTTCCAGGCAGTGCTATTTAATATACATCTGCTATGTAATAGATGCAACAAACYGAAATGATTTTCAGTTGGGT